AGGCGAAGTTGGCAGAATCTACACCACGGTTATTATTAGCATAAATATAAGCTCACTGTTGATATATCAGTTGGTTTTCGCAAGTGTTTCAGCTAAAACAACCAACTTTTCCTTATTCAATCGCACTAATTCTAGATCTAGGGGGGATAATAACCGTTTGCTCTCCAATAATTATCAAATTACCATTTAAAAAATTAGTACTTACAATGAAAATATCCTCCCTTCATAACATTAACTTTCACATTCTATTTAAGAGTCCATATGACTTTACGTTTGTCATGCTACTTCCTGAAAATAAAATAGTGGTGGTTGCAAATTTTGTCTTACGCCAAATCAAAAGGGGAAATTTTGCCAAACCATCTGCTGCCAGGGTTTGGACACTCGTCGACCAAATCTGATTTTTTAATTTTTTTAATGAATTACTATCATTGTGATTATTTATATATCATGATGCGTTTATTTAAATAACTCGGTCTCTTTCAACTATGCGAAACTCATTACTTCAGATTGTTCTATACAAATACTAATTGTCACACCACAACACACACACACACACACACACACACACACACACACACACACACACACACACACACACACACACACACACACACACACAGAGAATGACTGGATGGACATAAGAAGAGGAGTAAGACCGAGGTGTGTTCTATATCCAGATCTGTTCTCTTTATACGATGATAATGAAATCAATTGAAGAACAGGAAGGATTGGTGGAAAAAATATAAATAATGTAAGATATGCAGATGATGCAGTTATGATTGCTAATTCCCAAGAGAACTGCAATACTTTTTAACAGCAGTGAAGTAAAAAAGGTCTAACAAAGTATAAAACGGAAGTGATAGTTATGATAGTTATTATTAAGGCACACGCCTCCAAGGCTCAGTGTAAGAGTAACCGAAAAGATCATAAAGCAGGTGAGATTTTTCTACCTGGGAAGCTACATTACAGAAGGTGTAAGGTGTACAGAACAAATTAAAAGAATATGTAAAGGAGAGACGTTTCAGAAGATTAGAAATATACTTACCATATAAATATACTTAATAAATAAATATAATTAATTAATTAATTAATTAATATACTTAATAAGAAATATACTTAAATAGCCACCTATCATCAAAAAACAAGGCAGAGCAGTTAAAAATATATGGTCAGTTGTATGGGTCAGCAGAAGCCTGGGCGATGGGTAAACAGATGGAGAAGGGGATGGAAGCCTTTGAAATGTGGAGCTGGCTGGCTGAAAATATCCTGGGCAGGGAGAATATCGAATGAAGAAGTGCTAAGAAGACTAGGTACTGAAAAGGAAATACTGGTGAAGACAAGAGTAAGACAGATGAGGTTCGAAGGACGTGTGATAAAGAGGAAGAAAGATAGAGGAATTTACGTTTAACAGAAAGAATCCCAGGTAGCAGAGCAAGAGACAGATTGAGGGAGAAGTACATGGATGGAATAAGAAGAGCAGTGGGAGATGAAAGCAAAGCTACACAGACACTGCAAATGGCAAGTGATAGACGGGCGAGGTATGGTCGCCAACGTCTGCAGGGGTACGACACTTCGATAAGAGATCTGTTTCCATGGATTCCCGCCTTAAGTGTCTTCCTATGGGTTCTGGGGGTACTTGGGCCAGCGGACCGCACGTAAGAAGTCTTTCAAATAAGATTCATTACATATACAGGTAGCTAGGGGGGAGGGTAGAGTTTCTTTGACGAGGGCGCTATCATACACGAGTTGTTCACTACATGGATGGCGGTGGGTTAACATTAGGCTGGCTTAGGACGCACAAAGTGAGGGTACTGCAGACTGCTCACAGCACGCGTGAATCAACACAGAATGAGTCATTTCCTTTAACACAAACAAACACATGATATGATAGTAAATCACAGTAGTGAGAAAGTGCAAACTGCTTTCCCATGAATAAAAGCTAAACGTCCATTCATACAGCATAGTCTTCGTAAATTCACAGATAAGAGCTGATAAGGCAAGCGCTGAGAACACCTTGCTTTCTTGTTAACACACAATCACACTCACACAGATAGATAGACCTAGATATATATAGATACATATTTGTTCATTTATCTATTCGTCTATATGCGCGCGCGTGTGTGTGCGTGCACGTGTGTTAGTATGTCTGGGAGCGTTCAATATTATTTGCTTTGATTTTCTAAATGAGAACGAATCAGTGTTTTTTTTTTTTTTTCTTCTTTCTTATTAGTCATCGAGTTCTGTTTTAACACATTTAATGTAAATGTAGATGAGAAGCAGTTTTTTTTTCTTACTTTTTTTAATCGATTAATTTCAGTGGAAATAAATAATAAAGATGTAAGAATTCAATTTCTACTCAGATGTTCCTCATTCTAACATCCACAACAAATGAACAACAGATATCCGAGCTCGGTGTCGGAGATTTGAAACCGTTGTACATTGTGGCCAGCGACCGTATAATTAGATTTTAAAGCCACTAGTTTCATTTACGTTGAATTAGTTACGTTGATCGATTCACTCACTGTCTGCGTGCTGCCTTTGTCACAGGATAATGCTTTTAGTATAAAAGGATGTGTTCATAATTTATCTAGGCCTAGATGTAATTGCTGTTGGTTTTAAAAAAAGGTTAATCTCCTTTTATTTCATTTGTTTATCTTATTATGATGTAATGTTGTCTGTTTTGTAGTACATTTATCTTCGTTTCATATCATTAGTTTTTTTCTATCATTATGCGTCTTATTTTATTTTTATTTTTTTAACACGAGGTTAAACTTTTTGAAACTATGTCCTCGCACATACTTAAAAGAATTGAAACAACGAGCCTTATCTTTTAAATTTACTCCCTGTTTTTACGTGCTGCATTTTCCAAAATTCATTCACACACTATAAAATCACCATGCTCATACAACTTTAATCTACCTGCTCTGGGATCCATAGGTAATCAATACTGACTGTGATCAGGAATTCGCAAATTTAAAAAGGGGCATCGCAGGGAAACAACAGCGGTTCAGCCTTCATAGCATTTCTGTCAGCATGATATAGTATACGATGACACGTGACAAAGCGTTGAGCAGAGGCGTGGCGAGCGACGCCGTCACCTGCGCGACTCAGAGACTGCTGGGTTATGCATTCCTTCGGTAGCACCTGCTTGGCCTGGCTCATAGATTTTCTCGGTTTAATTGCTTAGAATTATCTTCGTGATCTTTCGTGTTGTTACAGAAAAGAGAAACGTTTGAGATTTTATAATTTATGATATGCTATACGTTGTGTGTTGTGTGTGTGTGTGTGTGTGTGTGTGTGTGTGTGTGTGTGTGTGAGTGATGTGTGTATGATGTATGTATATGAGTAAATGTGTGTGTGTGTGTGTGCGTGCGCGTGTATATGTGTGTATATATATGTTAATATATATAATATATATGTATGTATATATACGTACATAATAAATATATGTATGTATATTACATACATTAAATATGTATGAATGTACAGTATATACATACATACATCAATATGTATGTATGTATATACATATATATATAACCGATTATTTGTTAGCCTGTCTGGATATGTATCCATCTCCTTTACATCCATCTCCCCTTTCGCAAACATTAGCCAGCAACACGGGCCAGCAACATTGACAGGTCCCAGGTGTGCGGGAGCCTGGCGCGCTTGAACAGAGGGAGGGGGGGAGCCGCGGGGGGGGGGCGTTGGGGCGAGGTGTGTGATCAAATAACTTCAGTCTCCCCATCCTGGCTATCCCTATCCCCTCCCTTCCCCTTCCCCTTCCCTGCCTCCCCCTCACCCTCTTCTGTCCACTTCCCATAAAATCTCCCCCCTGGTCGGCCGCACAGGTTCCCGACGCCGCTCCGGCCCTTGTAACCACGTGTAATGCAGGCTATGGAAGTGCCCTTTTTATGGTAATTGGTGCAGGTCCACACTCGGCTTGATTTAACAAATTATTTTGGAGAGAGAAAGAGAGGGAGGGAGAGACAAGGGGGGAGGGAGGAAGGGAGAGAGGTGAGGGAGGAAGGGAGAGAGAGAGGGGGGGATTAGAGAGAAAAAAAAAACGAGAAAGAGAGAAAATAAAGAGAAAAAAAAGAGAAAGAGAGAGAGGTAACACAGTTATAAGAAACATCCACCCTAAGCCAGACGGAATAAGAAAGAAAGAGATGAGAAACCAAAAAGAAAATTGGACATGCTCATACCAACAATAAAAGCTACAGAGAAAGAAAAGAAAAAAAGGTACAAGAATGGCCAGAGAGAGCGAGCATGAGGACACCGCCTTCAAAATACATGAAACAAGCGCTTGGTTCTGGACCGTCAGGTTAGCAGCAGTTCTGTATCCGGTTTTAATTCTATTTTTAGGCCCTCATTCACTGTTATCTGACCATTATTACATCTCGCCTTCTGTCATTCATACATACAGCTAACCACCTAACGACGTAGACACAGCTTTATCAAACTATACTTATAAACTTGTCCTTTATCCATGTTTAGGATAAACCTTTTATCACCCCCTTCTCTCTGCCTCTCTCTCTCTCCCTTTCTCTAGATAGATAGATAGGTAGATATATAGGTGTGTGTGTGTGTGTGTGTATACACATACACATACGCACACACACACATAAACACACACACACACACACACACACACACACACACACACACACATATATAATATATATATTATATATATATATATATATATATATTATATAGAGAGAGAGAGAGAGAGAGAGAGAGAGAGAGAGAGAGAGAGAGAGAGAGAGAGAGAGAGAGAGACGTATATTGGTAGATACGTATAGACATAGATATAGTTATGTACATAGATAATACGTACAGATACAGATAAATTTATGGATAAAGATAAAGAATTTCATTAAAATAGTAAGTGGAATATGATGCCTTTACGGACAAATTGTTAAATCAATACTTTTCAATTCCAAATAAGTAATAATTTTTGATTCTGTGAAAGGAATGATATAAACAAATAATACCAGTTTATATTTTTATTCAAATAAATATCAGTGGAAATTATTTACATAATGTGTTCATATTTTTAACTGTGGTTAATTTTCTAGATTATCATGTACAAGTGCATAATCCTATATATTTTTGACTTACAATTAAGTACACAGTCAATAAATATTTACGCAGATAACAATACTTGTTCATTACCTTGAAATATATAACGCTGGGCGGACTCTTTATAATATATTTATTTTCATCTTAATAATTAGTAGCAATACACCCTGAAATCATACAATATAAGATTTAAAAATTAAACATTAACTCCAATAGCTTACGTTTGCGTGTGTGTGTGTGTGTGTGTGTGTGTGTGTGTGTGTGTGTGTGTGTGTGTGTGTGTGTGTGTGTGTGTGTGTGTGTGTGTGTGTGTGTGTGTGTGTGGTGTGTGTGCGTGTTGTGTGTGTGTGTGTGTGTGCGCGCGCGCGTGTGTGAAAATATTTTCAATAATTGTGAAGCTCCTCTCAGCACTTTCACATACATATACTATTACAACTATTACAAAAATACAATATATGCTCTTATTTTACTATATCTTAAAAAGTCTTCCATGAGACAGAAAGAAAAAAAAACGAAAAACACTATAAAAGGTCACACTGGCCGGCTGGTCAACTGCCTAAGACTTCTGGCGCTCTCTTTGGCTTGCAGGTGGCTTGTAAGAATGAGGTCAGCACAGACCAAGGAGGAGGGAGAGCCAGCGAGGGTAGCAGTATCCCATGGTGTCTCGTTATACCTGGGGAGACGTTTTTGTTAGCACTAAATATGCCTAGTGTTTTCTTTTCTCTTTGGTTTGAACTGCCGTCATAGAAAATGGTTTAGTGGGGTTTCTCTCTTGGAAATACTGACTAGGTAAGATTTTCATTACAAGGAATGCGATGTGCATATGGCAGCGAAGGTGGACCAGTGAATGTTTACAGCGAATACAAGTAATTATTTATTAAAGCCGTTTAAGAGTTCGCAGCCTTTTATCGGGTTAGATTGTATCATATATGACATATTAAGTATAACTGATAAAGGTATGCGGCATCGAGATCTCATATGTTAACAGGAAAACACGTGGATAATGGTGAGTACAAAGTAAATCTCATAAAGTCATCAAGATTCTGATAACGCCATGTGGACATTTTAAAAAGAAAAATGTCTAAAATAAATTGGGAACACCAAAATGCCAAATAACTTTTGTTTGCGAACTGAAAAGGTATGAAAGTTTTTTTCTCTAACCGTTTATGCAACTTATTCAAACGGTAAGATGGAAATTCATTCTCTTACCATGCTATATAGCGCCTTATTTCATAACCTTCTTCACTGCCTCAACTTACGCGCTTACACTACCTCAAACGAAAAAAAAAACACCCAGATCTCCAACACCCAACCATACACTCAACCCCCTCCCACCCCCTAAAAAAAAGTCAACAGAAATAACGAACAAATAAACAAAAAGAAGTAGAGAAACGTTTAAAAACACAGAAATAAAAGACGATAAAATTAACGGTCTCACTCAGCCAGACTGGGAAAGGGAAAATTAAGGTGTACCATAATCCACGTTTTCTTTACCGCTGTGTTTAATTCGTCAGTTTCTTCATAGACAACGGAACCATCTCGTAAGTATGAATGGGAGAGTGAGAGGATAACTGCGGTGTGTTTCTAAAATGTGCTTAATTGATTATTTGCGAGAGTGATGCTTGTAGGGATATCATCTTTCACTACCCTGGAGACTGGGTAGGAAAGATTACAAAATTGCAATAGGTTTTTCTAAATAGAGAATTAGATATAAATAAAATGCGGTAGAAATAAATATTATTGCGTATTGGCGAGTTCTTCATAAAAAACAACGCAGCTACATGATAAAGCATAGAGTAAATTAATAGCAAGTTTTCTTATTAATCGATGGCTGTTCCCATAAAACATAAGAATCGCTGTAACAAATTCCAATAATCATAAAGATAAAAGACAATACCATAGAATCCAATAATAAGAAAACGCTACAATTTTAGGGGTGACTATGACATTTACACACGGAAGAAATCTTGTTTGTGCATCTTTCCTTTTTCAGGACATACTAGTCAAATTCTGGAAATCCTTATGCAATCGCAACAAGACATAATTATTTCTCAATCACTTCGAAAGCCTCGATCGATGACATTGCTAGATAATCTTGATAGTAAACATATTTATTATCTCATACTGCCCGCCATTGCTATGTATGTTTATTATGTCTTGATTATTATTATGAGTATAATGATTGTCACTGTTATTACTAATACAGCTATTGTCATTATCATAATTATTATTATAACAATTATTATTATTATCACTATGATTATTGTTATTGTTATCATTAACATTATTATTAATACAACTATTATCATCATTACCCGCATTAAAATCATCTTTATCATTATCACTGGTTATTATTATTATTGTTATTACAATTATTATCATTATTACTATTGTCATTATTATCATTATTATTATCATTATCATTATTATTACTATTGTCATTATTATCATTCATCGATAATCATTATAATATTACTATCATTATCATTATCATCACTATGATGATAAAACGATAATAATAATAATAATAATAATAGTATAATGATCATAATAGTAGAAATAAAAATGGTAATAATAATAAAGATAATGATAATGATAACAATAACAATAATAATTATGATGATAATGATAATGATAATTATAATAATAATGTTGATAATAATAATAGTTATTATTATTATCATCTTTTATCATTATTATTATTATCGTTATTGTTATTCCTATAATATTTATCATCAGAGGAGAGGAGAGATAGAAGAAGAGAAGAGAAGAGAAGAAATGAGAAGCGAGAGTCTACACGAAACACCCATGGAACCTGACCTATTCCTTGCCGTAGGGTCGGCCCCTGCTTCGAGCAAAACCTTGCAGGTGTGTACGAGACCCTGCTTGGCCGCTAGGTGCAGAGGAGTGTCATTGGCGGCATTGGTGGAGGTCGGGGAGGCGCCGTACTCCAGCAGAAGGGTCACCAAGTCGTACCGAGACATCCTGACGCCGGCGTGGATGGCGCAGTCGCCCAGTTCACTATCTGTGGCTGGAAAGACGAAATTTTGGTTCTTTATATTTTAAAGGACTGAGGACGTGGATGAGGAATGGATGTATTACGAATGCAGATACCCGAATTTCTTTCATTCTTACTTTATATTCGACCTTTCAAGATTTTGTTTTTCTTCTGTTTTTAACTGCCACAGATAAAGAATGAGGGACAGAGCTGAATCACGGATTGTTACATTTCTACGACCTTCCGGTATCCTTGTTTCTTATCTCCTTCCTTTCAAACATTTTTTTTAACTTATCTACTTTTTTGTTACTTCTACCGGATCTTTGTTTTTCCCTGCTTGTCTATTTCCGCCCTCGTTCTAAATTATTTTTGACTATACGCATATCTTTTATTCATAAGAAGACATATAAAACAACAACTTTTTGACTATACAGTTAGTCTATTTATTATATAATATATATATATATATATATATATATATATATATATATATATATAATATATATAATATTATATATATATGTATGTATATATATATATATTTCATAAAAAGCTAATAACTTTCTAACTGTACACATATTCTATTATTGATAAGACATATATCACATAAAACTCTAAACACATATTACATTTTCAACGCCAAGACCCAGTACCTTCCGTCGGTGCCCCGAGATGCAGAAGGAGCTTGGCACACTGGGCAGCCCTGTGGTGAACGGCGAGGTGGAGGAGACTTGCCTTCACTCTCCGGGGCTTGTTCTGGCTTGCCCCCAGCACCAGGTCGTATGTGGCTCCTACTTCGATGTTGCCGGGGATGCAGGACACCACCTGTTTGGGGAAGGTGTGTTTGTAGGACGTGTAGGAGTGTGCTTCAGATTTCATTTATTTGTTTGTTTATTTATCTATAATCTGGGTGCTAGGAATGAGCTCTTCTCTTCTTATTTCGTTTGGGTTCTCTCGTTCTTTTTCTTTCTGTCTGGTTCTCTTGCTTTTTCTTTTTCTTTTTCTTCTCTCTTTCTCTCTTCTCTTTCTCTTTCTCTTCTCTTTCTCTTTCTCTTTCTCTTTCTCTCTCTTCTCTTTCTCTTTCTCTTTCTCTCTCTTTCTCTCTCTCTCTCCTCACTCTCACTCTCTCTCTCTCTCTCTCTCTCTCTCTCTCTCTCACTCACTCACTCACTCACTCACTCACTCACTCACTCTCCTCTCTCTCTCTCTCTCTCTCTCTCTCTCTCTCTCTCTCTCT